TATTTAATTTATTTACATAAATATGTATGTCTTATATCTTGTGTGGGAAAGGGTAGTATAGTCTAGGGAGGGTTGGTAACAGTGTGGGGGAGGTTCGTAAATAATATAATAACTATCTTGGGTCTTGGAACGCAACTACCGCGATAGGAGAGGGACCACTGTGGCTGGCCGTTTTTAAGTTCTTTGCAAATGCACTAAAGCAGGTATAATGGCTGGGGGTCCCTCGTGTCGCGGTAGTTTTTTAGAACTCAAAACCTATTGCCCAGACCTAGCCCGACACTGTCCACTAACCTGTGACTCCCTTCTCCTTATCAGGTGGGAACGTGCTCATACTGAACACGTGGGGCAAACAGGCCGGGCCCCACATGCAGGCGCTGCACTTCAGCTTCGCAGCTGGAGCCTTCGTGTCCCCAATCATAGCCAAGCTGCTGTTCGGGGCTGACGGCAACAACAGCGTGAGAACCGTTGCCACCAACTACAGCCTTCCTGCCACCAGAGACCCCGACGCTCACAGGATCCTACTCTACGTCCAGAGCCCCCTCAGATCCATGTGGGCCTACATCGTGATTGGATCTTTTCTCGGCGTCATCACTTTCTTATTGTTCTTATTTTTCGCCTGCGGCAGGTCCTCGACCGACAAAGCCCAAACCGCATCGGGCAAGCCCCTGCTGGCCAGACACCACACTGCACTCGTTGTCCTGTTTGGCTTTTTTTTCTTCGCCTACGTAGGCGCCGAGGTAATGTACGGCTCCTACATCTACACCTACGCCAAGGATTTTGCGCAAATGGAGCAAGCGCAGGCAGCTGGCCTGAACTCATTTTACTGGGGGGCGTTCGCCGTGTGTCGAGGGATGGCGATTTTCTTTGCGACGTGCATGTACCCGGGCACCCTGATCCTGTTCAGCCTGGTGGGCAGCACCGTCTCCTCTCTACTTCTCTGCCTCTTCAACAGGGAGAAAGTAGTGCTTTGGGTTTGCACCTGTCTCTATGGTGCCTCCATTGCCACCACGTTCCCCAGCGGCATTTCCTGGATAGAACAGTACACCACAGTGACAGGGAACACAGCGTCAGTCTTCGTGGTGGGTGCCGCACTGGGCGAAATGATGCTGCCCACTTTTGTCGGGTTCATGCTGGGCCAGTTTCCCGATCAGCCTGTGATGATGTACATGTTGCTCGCCACTTCCGCAATCACCGCCATCATCTTCCCGGTTATGTACAAACTCGCCACCGCCCCCAGTGGCCAAAGTAGGAAACCCCACAACGTGGCACAAAGAGACGCTGACGACAGAGAGTTTTGCCAGGCCCTTTTACACGATGAAGAGGACGACGACAACGACCCGGACCAGTGGAACAATGCAGATTTTGAGTTGATCGAAATGGACAACACGCCTCTCGTGGACTCTCCCGCTGAAGTGAGCGGCAACTGTGTCGTCACCGAACCTATGTTCACAGCGGCAGCCTCTTTCTCAAGCGCCGTGTCTGTAAACGCAGCCTCCCCCCGACGCAAGCCGCTGCCCCCCGCCTGACCAGGAAAGAAA